TTGCCTATCTTGACTTCCTGAATGCTTACACGGGTATCATCGCTGTAAGGGGCACATGTTGTAAAGATGAGGCGCATGCCTAATGGCCTATCACCAAACCTCTTGGAAACTGCCTACAGTAAAATACTGTATATCAAAGAAACTGACTGGCATGTTTGCAGCCTGTTGCTTAAAATAAAACCTATTGAAGCCATCTAGCGGTGATCGAAGAGATCCAATTCGGGCCAGTAATGTGCTGCTTATTGTATTTACTCCTCTGTTGCAGATAATAGTCTGTTTGCACTAAAAATGGTTTGAGATTGGTTCAGGAAGCATTTTTCTAAATCTTAAAGACATATTGTGTTTTGCCTTGCACAAAGACACTGTCACATGAAAGTAAGTATCCTAGACTACGCAGGCCCATCTGCACTCACATTGCAATGGCCAATTACTAGCATGCGATAAAATACTGCTTGCATGACATACATTGCAATATAACCATTTTTGTTACGCTCTCTGATGATGGATTAACGAAGTATTTCGAAGCGCCAGGCGAATAATCGTCTTTTCCCATCGATCAGATCGGTGTCTACTCAACGTAGTCTTCCTTAGTGAGTGATGTGGTATCGTATTCAAAAGGAGCGTTTTTTTTCTGTGGCATATCCTTTGCATTTTCTTGTAGGCATTAACTTTCGTTCATGCTCAGTTTTTAGATTTACACGAATCTAACAACACAATCATGCTCATTATGTATGATTTCAAAGAGATCCTTTTATGGTAAAGGTTATTAAGACCCGTGGTAATCTGTTGCGAAGGGATTTAAAATATTTAAAATCCAAAAATATTATACATTATTCCAGGGCATTCTACGCAAAGTCACAATTGCTGATTAAGATATTTGACGAAAGGACATATCTTTTAAGGAAAAGAAACGGGTAGGTTTGCGATTGCTGACGAATATTTTGTTTACACTCAGCAACGCCGAGTAAGCGCATGTTTGTGTAAGTCAAACGCATCAGAAACAAAAGAAAACCGAGAAGAGTACAGTCAGCTCTCGTGAAACCGTTTAGACGACTACACCTAATTAGCAAACGTTTCACTAACGGCTATAATTTATATTAAAATTTTTGACAAACTGTATACAAAATGCAAAACTCATTTCCTAAATATAAGTCTAATATTTTTGGTTTGTTGACTTTTGATTTCCACATGCGAAAAGTTGATTTTTACTTTTAAGGTCATCTTGTCGTTTTCGACATTTTCTGTTTTTCAAACGCAGCTATACCTTAACAAGGTAATATTACTTTTATATATTCCACTATCTTCTTAGGTAACTTAGGTAACGTGTATATTTTGACTTATTTTTGCACATCTTTGCATAATATGGGGTGTTCACTGATCTAGTTAAGATAAGCTGCCGGCACTGTATGCTTAGGTTTAATCAAATGCCCAGCAGCAAAAAAACCCTGATTAATTTTATATCCATAGAAGACGCATTCAAGAAGTCATGTTTGGCAAATGCACGTTTTCAAGTATTCATCAATTCGTTAAGACAATATGCGGAAGGATAGATTGGAACAATTGATAAATAGCGATTAAGGGGGGAGAGTTAAGGATTTTGGAGGCCAATTTATAGTCTTATTAAAAGGTCAGAGTGAAAATTCAGCATAAGAACCAGTACTATTCAAAGGGCCACGCAGAATCATTTCTATTGGACAAGAAGTGTCCGGCTCGTGACATTTGTAACCAATCAAAAATTAGAACATGCATTTTGGGTTCTGCAGAATATTTGCAGCCAAACAGAATGTATTTAACTTATTTTAGCGTGAGGAACAGAAAAACACGAATGCATTCTGCATAAATGGATATTTCAAATTTATCAAACGTGCAGAATTACACCGCAATGTTGCCACCGGAATGCCGCAATCTGTATGAAAGTGGACTTGCTCGAATATTAGTGACCCATATCAGTCTCGGAATTGCCCTTCTAGGAATCCCGGCCAATATTTTCGCCCTCATTGTTCTTCACGCTGAAAAGGCCTGTCGAAGCCCAACCCACATTCTGCTGATCGCTCTGGCGATTGAAGACATAATGATTATACTTTTCTATGGCATGTATTATATTGCCATGCATTACTATGAATCCTATAATATGGTGTGGTTGGGCTTTTTGCGATATATTGACACACCACTGTTCTATCTTGTCAACTGGATTAAAATGATCGAAATATACACGGTGGTGCTCCTAAGTCTCGAGCGCTATACAGCTATTCGGTGGCCACTGAAAGCTGCCCACTTATGTTCCGTCGGGCGAACAAAGCGCGGTCTGCTAATAATTACGCTGTTTTCGGGGATTTTCAAATTGCCCAACTTGATTCTGGACTATCGCGTTCTTCAGTGGTCTCCAGCCTGCAAAGACTACAAGCTTGTGGCCATATTTCGTGAGAAATCGTGGTATGATACATTTAAACTGGTACATGTGCAACTGTTAGACCAGGTCTGCTCTTTCGTCATACCGCTCAGTTTACTGGTATTTCTCAACTTTGGACTAATCATGCGCATTAGGCGCTTCGAAAGGCGACACAAATCAGGCCAATGGTCCATTAAGCCACTAAATGGATCAATTGCTATCATTACCCGAAAAACTTCCTACAAGCCACAGAAACCGAACAGCTGCGTTTCGGAGTTGGAAGACGATGATACTGATCTTACTCTGCCCCCACGGGGAACCTGTTACTCATTTAACTCTCGTCTGCGCGTGCCGCGAAAACCAATCCTCACGGAGAGGATCTTCGCAGAACCGAGCGTCACCTCGTCCAACGCATCTCCTGAACAAACGCTCAATGGAAATCAACAAGGAGCTTTACGAAATACAATGAGTATAAAAGGTGGTCATAATGCCAACGCTAGCAGGACAAGTAGAAGCATATTATTGACACTGATTGGAGTAGTGACCACGTTTATAATCTGCGAAACACCCACCACAGTTTGCTTCCTCTTCGAAATATGGCACCTGGTCTCTGGAATTGTCAGTGAAGGCGGAAAAGCATCCTTAAACACTTCACTTCCTGATAATTCGCCTGCAAACAGCACAAACGACCAATCGGCTAATCCTTACGACCTATATTATTATGCTTACCCCGCTGCCCTTGTACTAGTCCTAGTAGGCTGTGCTAGCAACTTCTTCATCTACGTTCTCATGGGCAGACGATTTCGTCGAACATGCATTCGACTACTCGTCAGGTGTAGTTGTGTTATATGTTCTCATTTTAGACGCCGCAAGTCTAAACGCAACGAAGAAGACTCTGGTTTCATTCGACCACTGAAGCATAGACATACGCTACGCCCAAAAAAGGTCTGATTTAAGTGGATGCAAGAACACAAAGAACGGCCCAAACCCAGTGGACTTCTAAAACAGGTATCTACCAGGTGACTCATGAAGTTCAAAGATGTGATTTTGCCAAAAAATGTGGACTGAAATTGTGATGTGTGGACCCACACACATTCCAGGTGAGGAAGATGGACAGCAATGGCCTCCAAGTTGACTTATTTTTGGAGCCTACTTTTGAAACCCTTCATTTTAATCCATGAACCGTTTTGTGCAATATAAACTTACCCAGATATTCGTTTATAAACTTTGAGATCGAATAAACAATTAGATTGGCGGTAGTTTTAAGAGCAGACGTAGAACAAGAGGAAAGATGAACGTTCACCGAGAGAATTTTTCTATAAGTCTGACGTTTCGTTAGATGTTCCTTTGATCCGTCTTCTGGCTCATTGTTTCAGTTATACACGTTCATTTTCCATGTGTGGATTCTGCCAATCGTTTCCGAAACACTTTAAATAGCTCGCACATCATCGTTACTCTTTTCCGCTGTCGATTTTGTCTTTAGTCTTGTCTGTCGTTGCGACATTTAATTGTGTGAAATCTCGTAATCTGTATAATAAGCGCATGAATTTATAGTAAACTCTAGAACTACACATTTACTGATAAGTTTTAAAGAGGCAATGCATGCAAAACCATTTTCCGCATATGAGACAACAGAATTGCAATGCGAGGGCAATTTACTTTCTCCTAAGAATTGTTTTTTACAGGTTCGTACGAAAATCTTCCTTCAGAATAGATGGAAGCTTCTGCTGATTATATATGGATAGCTTTCTTTCCCCGGCTCACCGAAACTAAGTCGCATGCAAATAGCCTGGACTATTGGGGTATAATTGAGAAAAAAGATGCCTGTAATTTGCTCGTGATGGGATATGAGATAATGCAAATGTCTCGTTTTCTAGCGGCGACTTTCAACATATCGGCCTGAATTGAAGCTGAACCGCTTTTGTTTATTGTTTTACGCGAGAAGGCTTAAAATAGATAATTATCAAGCATTCAGCGCAAAAATTGCAGTCGTGTATAATTAAGCGCATCACGGGCTAGAGGGATCAACTTGCATAAAAACGGCTACGCCCGACTTCGCCGAAACACAAAAACAGAGGCAATTCTGGCATGTTTCCGGTCCCCAGCAAAAATACTCAATTTGTTTGGCATACTAGACAAAGTATTCTCTACGTTTAGTATCCTATGAAATGACCCCCTGTGTTAATGCTTCTAGAAAGTGCGAAATGTCTACTATAAGTCAGGTTTAGGAAATTTAAATATCACGGGGTTAAATCTTAATCGAGAGTAATGTTGCCATCTGTTTTGGGTTGGATTGCGGAGGTCTCGTTATGATTGGGCAGCATGTGGGAAGCTCTGTACTTATAAGTCTAGCAAGGAGATCATACCTTTGAACAAACGTGCGATTTTAAAAAGCTCTTATGTGTTTACCACAAATACGATACGGTATGGTTAACACAATGCACCTTGCATAATTGTCGTGGCAACCGTGCAAGGCATCAGATACAACGCAAAAGGTTTAATTGTTTCCTGAAATCTTAGTTCAATGAACAATTTGTTATTGGTAAATTATTGAAAAAAGGACTTAAACTCGTCAACCAATTGTAAACAGAATTACACAGAATAGCGAATTCTAAGTCCACTTATTAAAATAAGATTCAATTTTGCACTTTCCCAAATAAAAAGTCCCCGAAAAATCTAGTACTTAAGCCGTAAACCAAAAAGAAAACAAATGAAATATTTAAGTGAGGCTAATTGAAATACGTAATAATAACTGTATTCATCAAACTATATTTGGTACAATACTTGGTGTTAAGTATATCTGGCTCCGTGGCGTCCTAGCCCTAATTGGTAGATCGTTGTCTTCATGAAAGCCTTTCCTGCTATGCAGGTTCGACGTCCGCCAACGCCGCGATTTTTTTCACAATCGGTCAACTAAAATCTGGCTCCGCAAAGATAGAAAATATAAAAATTAATGCTCAAAATCATACGGAAGGACAAACGCTGGTACTTAATTAGAGTCGTTAGAGATTTGCAGAATAAGCTATAGAATCTT